TATCCCCTGTGTGCCTTGTCGACTCAGTTGTTATCCAAATTACCCCACTATTCAAATTACTCCGCTGTACTCTACTTTTAAGGAAAAATTTCCTAAGCTTTCAAAAGTTTCAAGGCATTTAAAACTTTCAGTGTTCTGAAAAATGCTCAATTTTCATATATAATATTTGAAGCAATTCGAATCTTTACGACCCCAGTGAGAAATAGGTTGGAGAGGCAACTGTTTTACGTTTATAGACGCTTTTCCTGTTATTTCTCACTGGAATTGTTGAACAATTTTCGAGAAAAGAATTCGAATGTCACAAAAAAGAGATAAGGGGACCTTTTCCTATCCTTTGTTGCTCATTGAGCGAATATGAAAGGAGAAAGGCTCGATGTTTCCTTTGTCTTGCAGGATATTAGAAACGAGCAGATATGATCAATGAGCGTCTAACAGGTCTGTACGATCTGTCAGATCTCGATGTACGTGCGTTTGTTAGAAGAATGTCCCTTGTCCTTTGTAAATATCAAGACAATTTCTACGAACTTGTTGAATTTTTAAAATTCAATTTAGAGGTAAAATAAAGTACTTACTTTGAGACTGTGCGGTTCGGTATATACTGCTTCGGTATTGACTAGATCGTTGAAATACAACTTGATAGCTTTCGTGGGGTATCAAGAGCCGTTATGTGCTGCGCCCTTGTTTGTACCTCATTTGATCGCGTTGAGGTAAGAACCAGTACTGATGCCTGAGCCGCGCACGTCTGGTATTTTATACGATAAATACAACGTCACGCGTCGCCGAGATAAGGAATCTCACGCGTCATTCACGACAATTATTGCCGTCTCCGCCAGGGAGAGGATTTTTCTTCTCCACCACGCCGGGGACAAGGGGAGGGTTGTGCGATAATTGCGACGCACGCGTGTCTCGCTCGAGGGTCTTGTTCGGTCTTTATCAACTTTTAAGCCGAATTGATAAACTCCGAGCGCAAGTGGCTGACGCATATTCGCGGGTATAAAGAGCCGCGGAACGGAATATGGACTATGATACGCGTCGCCTATGTACATACTTTTGCGCAATCAGCAAAATCGACATTTATGTTAGCTGGCTTGACGCTACCGGTTTGACGTAAAATCACGAGGAGATAATGCAGGGAAACGAAATGCAGCGCGTATGACATCGTTGTTGTAATAATAAACAAAACACACTGTGTCGCTTCGTATCGCATCCGGGTCGTCGACTTGTCACTATTAAATAGTAAAGTAAAACAACGTAATTAATATATAAAAGAAAATTTTATTTCTTTTATTTGCCTGTCAAACGTGTTTGATTTATTTTACGTATGCATATTTAAAATATAAAAAAAAATATTCTAAGATACATTAAAAAATGAAAACATTCGGACGAATTGTACGATCTTTAGAAAACTACGTAAAAGCTTACCTTACCTGATTCATTAGCGGAACAATTAGTGAAACAATTAATATTATATAATCCTCTTGTCGAATTGCTTAGATATACATCGATAGATGTATACAAGATATATTCTTTCTCATAATATGAATTTATTCTTCGAATGTCATTCGAATAATCAGATGTCAGGGGATATGAAGGTAACAGAGCCTGATTAAAATATCCTGTAATAGTCCAGAAAATTTTCCACCGATTTATTAAGAATGAGTGGATACGAATGTATCAGCGTCTAAAAATATCAAACGAGTCCGATAACAGACCGTATCTTTTTGCGACCGCAGTCTGGCAGATAATGCACCTGCAATCGCGACATCTTATAATAGATCTAATATAAGTACAATAAGTATGTAAATCTTTGAAATTTTATATAACGTTGTTTTCAGTTATTCAAATACTTCTATTTTCATGCTTCCGCAATAATAAGCCGTATGCGGCAATCTGCAATTTTTTTTGTTATCTTCTAGGTAAAGTTCAAAGTTGCTACTCTGTTGCATTGACGATTTTCTTGATATCGCGTCTTATTTTTGTCTAGCACGTCGTTACAAAACCTAATGTATCGCAGAGTTAGATGTGTATGTAACGTGTTGAAATAGATGCAGCCAAGGGAAGAAAATAGATGACACAATCGTACGTTACCGATTTCTGCAACTGTGATTACTGCAACAAAGTTTTAATCTAAAGGCTCGCTGCTGTAAAGTCGATGTAACCGTGCCTACCTGGACACTTATTTGTCGAGCAGAAATAATTCTATACATTAATACAACAAAGATCTTGCGATTAAAGGGACGTCCGGGTCTGCTTGAAAGACGAAAAAAATCTGGAAATAAAAATTAAAAGAAGGATATCTAATATCTTATCAATATTTCATGGAATGTTTTCTTCGTTAGGCGCGGAGGTTTGAGCAGCATTTCGAGCAGCGGCTTACGCATGTAGACGCGATACTTCAGAATTCAGATGATACGCACTTTTTTTTTAATTAAGATTACGTCGACGGAAATTTTGTATAGTGATGTCGCATTTACTGCCGCGATTGATACACGAGGCCCCGTTGCGAGTGAGATATTAAAAAAAATCCCCTCTGACGTGCGGATAAGCAGGGAGTGCACAAATGGAATTCACGTGACGTTGTCGTGCCGTCGTAAATAAGTACACTAGTACAGCGTGTGATCGTGATACGCGATTAATTCCGATTAATTCCGATAAGAAACCCCTGCGTACATTGCGTCGTATATATTAAAGTACCAATCAGAATGATGTGATTTGATAAAAATAAAAGAGACGTTCGATCTCTCGTAAGACTACCAAAATATAATTAAGAGATATCATCTTTTAAACAGAAGACAACCCCTGCGGAGAAAAGTTTGGAAAATAATATTGGAAATACCTATATAGTGAAAAAAAACTATCGGAACGAATAGTGTGCAAAATTGGATTCGAATTGTTTTCCAATTATTTTTAATAATTTTTTCGCGAATTCAATGGCCCTTTATAATGGAATGTACGAAGATTTACAAATTATATATATGTATATAGATATAGATAATTTTGAATAAATTATTCTCATTCTATTAGTTAATATAATAATAACAAATATATTTGTATAATATATATGTATATAAATTATTAATTACAGTTGACAAACTAATTGAAGTAAAAAACTATTTTTATTTTATGATTTGAAGATTAGAATGTTTTATTAAATTTCAATGAATTTTATAGAGATTACCAATTTTATGTCACTGTATGCGTTCTTATACTTGGAAAAATATAAGCCATTTAGAATATTTTATTGAGTAAATAATAATTATCGGATGTTCAACTTGACGATATTACAATTTGGCAACGCTGGATTAATACGATTTAATATCTTGAATAAACACTGACTCGTGCATGCCTTATGTGTGTATCTCGTAAGTGTGAGATATTCAGAAAACACGATATAAAATATATAAGACTACGGTTTTAATGATTTAATTTATCTTATGACGAAGCCACAGTGTCGATATCTGTTTACAAAAGTTTATGATACATCCTAGACACGGAGTCTGCTCTTTACACCCGAGCCAAGATACGACCTTATTTAATTTCACGACAGATTTTATTATTTTCTTCGAGAGAGAAAAAAAAAATTGTTTAGAAACGCTCCAATACAGGAAGCTCTTAATAGAAAAGCATTAATATAGATATACATCTCGTTTCGAGTAACGACAAATTAATTGATATGATCTTGAAGATAGCGTTTGTCTGTGCAACTATGTTATATCTTTCCACTTAATCTTCGTTGGGGGTAAGGCCCTCGCTTATCACTCGATATATTATCAATTTCGATTGTGGAAAGGCCCTGCTACTTGAAATTAGGATGATTACGAAGTTCAAGAAGCTGATACGGGCAACTTGTAATTATCATTGTGACATTTTTATCCAAAGACACTTACCAAAGATATTGTCTGACATTTTGATATCGTTTAAGTACCTTCATTATTCGAAATTTGTGTTAAAATTAAGAATATTCAGGATAATTTAAAAATAAAAAGAAATGCAGAATTTCTCGCAATCACGACACTCCCGCACTCACACGGAATAATTACAACACTTGAAATAATTGCAACACTGAACGCAAGCTTTATTTGTACAATAACAAATCACAGATTATCTCAGGATTACAATCTCAGTGACAGAACAATTGCCCGAAATACTTCGAACTGCTCGGGATTCTTCTATTTAATATATTTACCGTTTACTGAAAAATCCATCGTCCCCTTTATTGTTACATGCTGATTTTTTTATAAGTATTAATTTTTCGTACAGTCGATTCGATACACAGCCGAACTTTTAAACAGACCTTCAGCATGGATTAAACAGATTAGGAGCATGACAAAAAATATATATATATAATTTTAGCACATACACCCTTCACATCAAAACTTCAACAAAAATACGAGTTATATTTTGTTATATAAAATGTACAATTATATACAATCTGATGTGATACTTTCAGCACTAATCATGATTGGTTAATATTAATTTCACTTTGTACATTGTTCTGAAACGTAGATTTAGAATAATTTAGATGTAAAAAAAAAAACTTGTATTTTATGATGATGTAAAATCAAAGAGCGGCATTTCAAGAGGTGTCAACTGAGGTAAAGGGTCAAGAGGACACAAAGGATGTTCTTCTGCTCTGATATCGTTATTAGAATTGACAGAGACTGCATAAAGACGCTCTGTCAGTTGGCGTACTTCTTCCTCCTTTGCTTCTAGTTGGCTGAGCAAGCTCCCTACAAGTGATCGCAATTGGCTGTTGACGGTTTTGAGCTCTTCTATAACGGTGCCTGTATCCTTCGGATGCTTGAAACTTTTTTCTTCGGCAGTAGGCAGCTTGATATCTATCAAACTCAGAAGGCTGTCTTGTTCGTCGATAGTTTTATATATAGCTTGACGCAAAGAGCCATCGAACTTGTCAATTCTTATGTCCGCACAATTATCTCTTTCGCTGTATCTGGCTGCGTGCTTATTGAGAAGATCCTTCTGGTGATTTTCTAAGGTTGTCTTGTACTCCTCGTATTGTGCCTGCTTCATTCTAACAATAAATAAAATTTCTTTCAATGAAGAGTCATATACAGGGTACTGCATTATACTTATACGTATTAGGCAGTATAACAAGTTGCGCGGCAGACTTGCTGGGGCAGGCGCATACTGCTTAGTAATGGGTATTTAGTATTTATTTTAGTTTTTAGTACTTTTTAAATTTTTAGTATTACTGAGCCGCGTTTACCCCTGCAAAGGGGCGTAGTCTGCCGCACAACTCGCCATACTGCCTAATATGTATATGCAACAAACCCTGTACATAAAAATAATTATAACGACTGCGAGACAGATAACTTGTAATTTAAAAATATTACAAATTAAAAATTAGTACGTACCTGACAACAGCCGCCTGTCTCTTATGATAATCTCTTTGCAAACTGAGGGACTCCAACGTGACGAGCGAATGAGTTGGTGTCGGAAATTTTGATGTATCTTGGGAAGACAAGGTGGACGCATGTACATGGATGAGACTGGATTCAAGTTGCGCATGGGCCTCTGCTAAAAGATCAGCTACGGTCTCGTGGCACTTGGCTGCTTCCTCGAACTTTCCCTCTCGTAATAACGCTTCTGCTCTCCTCTGTTTTTCATGTGCCTTAGATCAAGTATTTAACTTTGAATCAGTCTCGTCGATAATTTGTAATTGTACGTAATAAATAAAGTAAATGAAATAAATACATAGAAATAATTTCTATATATTTCTTATTGTTCATTCAATAAAATAACATGCATATTAGTGTATTTTAACATTTCATTTCCAGCTTAATAAAATAAAGTATATCGATTATTTTCTCAAGAGAAATTATAAATAATTATTGATTATTTACTCGCGTAATTAACTGGCATACAATATAAAAATATATTATACAAGCAATATAAAAATATGCGAAGAAACAACACTCACCAGATTCAAGGCGGACGTCTCCATCACTAATAAGAGAGAAGAGAAGATACATATGATAGATAATATCCCTAGATCATATGTAGCTGTTTTCATGTAATTAGGGCTGTAACACATAGAACAACGTAAGAATTAAATGACCAATTACAATCAAAAGTTTCAAAATGACATACGTTCTCGATGATCACTGATTAGTACCGGAGAGTATCGGAAGTATAGTAAGAAATATGTGTTATGATCTTAAATTTTTGTAATTTCATAATAAATCGAATTTATTGTAAAAATTAATATTGCGTCCTATATCTAAAGTTCAGTGATCTAAATGCTCGACATTTTCATATCGAATAAAACATATTTTTCTTTTAGCAAAACTCTCCTCTTAAAAGTAGGAAATTCCAGACGAAAGCATATTGCTAAAGCTCAAGAGGAAAAGAAAGATGACCAACCAAAATGGCTCTTTTCCTCACCCTTAGATTTTATTCTGGTTTAAAAATAACTTTGCTCCCTCTAGGCTCTTACCTTCATGCCTCTCGCTGTTTGATTACGCCATCTCGTGGACAGAATTCCAATATTTTAAATAAAGCATTATTGATAATTCTTGTAATTCCTTATTTCTTACTTTTATTTTCTTCAAATCAAAGTAGCTTCAATTATTTTGCTAGTTTAATTATTCATTTTTAATCGGGTGTGTGTTCTTCTCCAGTGTTTTTCAGAAAATATCACTCCTTACAGAATTTTATGAGTGGAACGTTCATATAAAACCGCTATTATGCAATATTTAACGGAGTAGTAGATTACATACACGACGACAAATAAATAGAACGTACATTTGTCTCAAGTGAAAGAAAAAATTGAAAGATAATTTGATTATATTTTTCTCTTATTTCAGTAACTTCTATACACAACACGTATAAAAGTAAATAAATAAATAATTTAAAAATTATTGCTATACACAAAAAGGCTGAAGAATTTTCATAATTTCTACAAATTTTTACGTTAGATTTTAAAATATATCAACAAATTTATCCCACATATGGACATATCTTAAATGTAATTCAAAAGTGTCTTATAATTCATGAATTTAATTGTAATGATATAATTTTGAATAAATTTAAGATCGATTTTTTAAGTAAAAATATTACGTTAATCGTTTTTGAGTCATAAATAATTGAGGAAAAAAAGAAGAAGCTATGTACAAAATTAGGGATTTTAACTAAATTTCAAAGTAGGCTTGATTTAATAAAATTTGTATTTGAAATTATTCAGATTTTTTAATATTTTTTACATATCCTAAATTATAAATAAAATTCTAGCCTAAATTCTGACAATGAAACATGAATCGTCCAAAACGTTAAAAATTAGAAATTAAAATTTAAGTAAAAAAATGTATTTAAAAAAAACCGTATGTCATTAAATTTAAACTTCTCATATAATTGCAAAAATGAAAAAAATATCATGTATTTAAAAATATATATATCTTTTTTTAACTTTTGCAATTAACGTTTATATATAAATAATCAAGAATGATATCTTACACAAAAATCTTGAATAATAATTAAAATTCTTAATATGTATATCTTGATGCGGTATCATTAAATATAATTCATCAAAAATATGTACGTACGTCGACACGAAATTAAAGGACTCGTCAACAGCAAAGAGATTATTTCCAAAAGAAAACGAGTTCTCACATGGAAAAAAAAAAGATTATCAGATAATCGCGTTCCCTAGCGAGTTGGCGCGCTTGCGCGCGCGAGGCGGTTGTTCTAGTGAATGGGCACGGCCCGTGAACCAAGAGTCGGCGGTATGAATGAAATAGTAAATATAATTGACAGAAGGGCAGGCGCGCGCGGCGGGCGCGTGTGTTGTGTGGGCAGGCCGGTCGTGAGCGCGGTTCAGTCAGATCGGGCTGGGGCAGAAAACAGGCGGAACGAGGTGCAGGACGGGAACGGGGAGAGAACGATATGCATGCCGGCGCGACGACGACGTCGCGCAGCGCGTTCGCAAACGCGCGCGAACGTAGGATCGAGGTCATCACCTCTCTACCATTTGAGGATAAGCGCGATATCCTTTGCCTCTTTCGTCATATCATTGGTTCCGCCGATCCCGCCGGCCCATTAATCCCTGGCTCGTTTCTCAATCCGGCCGCCTCTCCGCTCGCACCGCGCTCGCACGTAGCGGTAGCGGCGGACGAGGCGCTTGGCGTGCGCGCGACGAAAGGGATTCGAAATTTGAAAATCACGTCGAAAAATCAGATATACGCGCTCGTATATGGTCCGTCGCGCGATACTCCAATCCATCGTGCTTTGAAATCATTTTTACGCCGCCAACCTTCTGCCGTAATCGTCTCGCGTTTCTATTAAGAAAAAAAAACGTTTCTTCCCCCACTCCACCCCCCCACCTCAAGAATTTTTTATATATTCCCCGATGCGAAGATATCGCGCGTTTGTTCGGCGCGAGATCCGCCTGTGCGTACGGTCGATGTATCGGCAGAAGAACGTCGAAGAATATGGCGAGTTCTTGACCGGTCTGCCTTCTCCTTCTCTTCACTTCCCCTCTCTCGCGGAGAGCCGTCGAGTGACGACCAAAGACGGTAGGAAGGTACGGTTTCCGGTCGCCCACGCGACAATCTAGTCGGGGCTCTCTCCTTCTCTCTCTCCTTTTCTCTCATCGGCCGGCGTCGTTGTGAAAATCCTCTCGATTCAGGTGTATAGATAGGAGCTTAGGAGCGGTAGGTCTGGCGCAACAGCCCGGCTACCGGTAGTGGGGCGGCGATGGGGTCTAATATTTGCGTATCTTTGCGTGCGACGCACCCGTCGCGACCTGTCGCACGCTGCGAGATTTGTCTAATCCGGGAGAACAAATTTACTTGGTCGCACGCGCAAAATGTAGATAAAATATTTAATTTCGTATATAACTTTACGATTGTGTACCTTTTACGCGGCTCGTATTCTTCAAAGGAACTTCCTCCCGCTTCATCTCGCATCGCTTCTTCTCGTCTCGCGCGATTAAATCAGACGTGAAAAAAATTCTTACGTCCAAAATATCAAATTTTACACAGAAAACGCAAAATATGACTTCAAGACTTGTAACAGAGAAAACAAATGTTTTTTTATTTAGAAATTGTAATAAATTATATCGCTGAGTAATAAACGAAGCAAAGTGCAATTAAATCCCTCCATTCTAACATTTATCCGTTATCAGGCCGTTATAAATTCTCTCTATTCTCTCTACTAATATTGTTATGGCTCAACCGCATCTCGTATATATTGAATCAGTAACTTTTTGTTTCAAGAGATATTCGCGAGAGTATGTTTTACTCGATTTCCCGATACCTCGACGAAGTGGTCATCATGGGGGCACGTGGGCGACCGGAAACCATCCCTCCCACATTCGCGTGCCCTACCTCCTCAAAGGGAGTGCTAAAGAGAAAGAGATTCATGAGGAGTGTGGAGGGATAGCGGAGAAAGAGCGAAATTATGAAGATTTAGATTCGCGGAGTGAATCTAAAAAGTTGACACGTGGAATCGTAATTTCGCGCGGATGAGAATCACGAGTACGGGGATAAGAGGGACGGGGTGGAGGGATGGGGTGGCGGGACGAGTGGCGAAAAGGAGCAAGAAATAAGAAGTAGGTGGAGAAACGGAGCGTAAGAAAGAACGAAGAAAAACAAGGGGGTAGGGTAAAGGAGAGGACAGTAAAGACAAAAAGGACGGGCGATGGGACGTGGAAGAAAACGAAAAACGAACGGGTAAATAAAGATCGACCCGTCTCCCACGCTCGTGACCATTGTTATTATATATCCCGTGGGGTATTGTTCCCATGGGAAAACTGGACAGGCTCGTTCTACCACCTATGGCCGTGGATACGACGAGGAGAAAAAAAGGAGAGAGAAAGAGAGAGAGAGAGAGAGAGAGAGAGAGAGAGAAAGAGAGAGGGAGAGACAAACCGTGCGCTCACACCAACACGCCCGTTTTACGTGGGTCCACGCACGAGCGTACGACCACAAGTCAACACACCGTCAAGTTTCAGTGAGATGAACACGACTGTATGGAGGTATGGAGCGATGATGCACGCACGCACGCGCGCACGCGCGCACGTATGGCACGCACGCACCACGCACGCACGCACGCACGCACGCACGCACGCACGCACGCACGCACGCACGCATGCATGCACGCGCGTTCGCGCGCCGCGCGCGCGCGCGGGCGCACAGATTTTAGATATTGTGGGGGACGTTCACCTCGCATCTCAGACCCTCGTCGAGCTCGTTCGCGGGTCCAGAGTGTATGCATGCACGTTAGTACCATTCCCGTACGAGACGTTATAAGGAGTATCCGGAGATACTCGTGCGCGTGTGTGCGTGCGCGCGAGCGAGTGCCACACGCGCACACGACCACTCTACGAGAGTGTCCACGACGGAGGTCTTTCGGTGGATGCTTGAGGAACAGGGTGCGGCTCAACCTACCTCGCTTGAATTACCTACCAATATTACTGTCTAGGTAGAGGTATATATCCAAACGCGAGCGAGACACACAAGGCGCAGGATAGTATGCCATATTTGCATCCTTGATCCAGGACACGCGCGTATCCGCGAGAGTGTATAAGTCCCCTCTTTTTCTTTTCTTTTCTCTCTCTCTCTCTCTCTCTCTCTCTCTCTCTCGGCGTATCTTCCTTCCGTCTCTCATTATCTCGGGAACTTCGTTGAATTTTCAATGAGATTTCTTAAATCATTAATGCATTCGAAAACGGTATCGGTTATGCCTGCAACAAAAAACATATACATATGAAAATATATTATTTTGTAATAGTTTCGAAAACAAATTCTTTAAAGAAATAAGTTTTTAAAAATAAGGATATAAATAATACATCTATTAAAATATTTATTAAAACGATTAGCTGTTCGGAATACAATTACGTTTCTACATTATATTGCAGGTTATTGATTTAGACGTATTATTTTTCCAATTGGAGGAACTCAGTTCCGAAATGTGGTTCCTGCTATGTCTGCCCTTTTGCATTTGATGGGCCGGAAGACGCTCGTTGAAGCGAAGAATGTGTGGTAATGAGATCATTGACATGATTATTATCAAAAAT